TCGAGGCCATTGATGTTTTGTTCCCTCGAGATTTGAACATAATATCTGTTGCGGCTTGTGAAGCCACATTAACGAGGATAAATTTTGAATTCTAAAGCATTGAGAGTGGGATTATAGCGTATATCGACGTTCGAATTTTGTATTTTTGCCAATGACCTTTTTGGTTATTTCCCGGCATTTGTATTATGTTTCGAGGCATTCCCCCTCTCAATCGCATAATTATTTAATTTTTTTTTACTTTTAGACACGCTTGATTCTAACTTTGACTTTATTTATGTTGACTCATTTTATTAATTTTTTTCGACTAGTATTTTATTATTATTTGACTTGAGATAAGGAAGTTGTCCGGTTAAAATAATTGTTTGTTTAGTAATCTAATTTATTTATTTGTGAACAGAAACAGCGTGGTCTTTTAACTGGAGAGTAAGTCGGGGATTTACATGATATTCATTTTGTTCAGACAATTTTCAACAATATTAGAAGATTAAATTGTTACCCCGCAAATTTTGAATTTGTTTAAATTGTGATAACCCAGCCATTTCAAACCCTCAGGGCAGTTATTGGAACCCAGCCGCCTCCGCGGTCGTTGTACTGACTAGCTAGCAACTGTCCTTGTCGTCGTTCGTTATTTTTGAGATTTTTGGCCGTCTTTAACAAAAAGGGCAAGGTGCGCCCAATGAGCTTACCTAGCTCCCAACCCGAATTCGGCCAATGACTACAAAGGAATGGGTCCTATTGTATTGTGCAGGTAGTCGGAGGAACAAGACTACGATGCTTGGTCTATCGGAGCTCTCGTTCTCTCGTCTCTCCTTTGTTTTGTATTGTTGAAAAATATCAAATAATAATTTTTTTCTTCATCAACTTCCGCATGAAATTCTATTGAATAAATCACTCAGAATTGAATATTTCGGCAGCAAATGAATTAAAAAACACTGCTGATTTTTTCAGTTTTGTTAATATTTTTTATTTTTTTACATTTTTCCTTTTCCTATTACCATTGTTACCATGGTTTGATAGGCGCCCCTTCGTCTTAGCCTTTCAGCCTCTCCTACTATCCTCTCATTAGCCTCTCCTACTATCCTCTCATTAGCCTCTCCTACTATCCTCTCATTATTTTTGCGGTAGCATGGGCCGACTTTCTGTACTGCGCCCATTTGGCGTGTACTGAGGGAAACCATGTAAAACCTCAGTAGCGCAGCCGGCCGGTACTGCGGGGATTCTGCTGTGTTCATCAGTCACACTGACTCGGTGAACACACCAGCTCTCCGCACCCGTGCGTGACGGCGGCAGTCTACACGCCGATGGGTGTGACTAAGCGGGCACCCATCCAAGTACTAACCCAACTGAGCGTTGCTTAGCTTGGGTGATCGCCGGAGTCACACACCGCCCGCGTGGCTACTGTCGCCGCTAGTTTTGTTAATATTGTTTGGACATTTACTAAACAGTATTTGAAAAATTGAAGACCTTAGAAAAGCACAAGGAAACAACAAATTTGAATTCCATTATTTCATGCCTTATTGACTTTTTTTCATTATCTCGATCCCACCCTTAAATATTTCAAGATTCATCTATTTCCAGTTAAGCACGAAAATAAATGATTACTGCAGAAAAACACAGAAAGAATTAGCTGCAGAGAGTGATCGAGTAAAGGTAATCCAGAAATGTTTACAGATTCAAAAATGTGAGATCTAACCGACAATAGTGGAGCGAGTGTATGCCAGACAATTATTTGTGATTTGTTCCAATATGAATATTGAAAGCATAGATAGATCCATACAAAAAATGAAGTGTCTTTGATTTAACTCCAGCGATTGGTCAAAAACGATTTTACAATTGGGAAGAGTGCAAACAAGTATTTTTATCATGATGTTTGAACAATTACCATCGATACAACTAAGGATTTTTCACGTTGAATTGGTGAAAATTTGTTCGAATTTTAGGGGGTAAGTTTTTCAAAATTTGAAACGAAAGCGAGCGGACCAATTGAATCTGTCCAAAACAATATTTGAGATATTGAAGATAAATTGCTCAGGAATTTGTTTTTAATCAAACTTCTTCGGTTCGAGAACACAAAAACAATTCAACGGAAACTATTATCGGACTCGCCAGATAATTCTATTGAAACTCCATTAGATTTCAATGAAAACTATATAAGTTTGTGAATAAATTCTTTTAGAAATCTTTTTCAGTACAAATGTCCCACAGAATGTAATAGGTTTGAAACGAATGAAATTTTGGCTTACATTTTAATATATTTTTATTATTTTTTACGGATATATAAGCCAAAGAAAGCAAGTAAAAAAGATTTTACCATGAAAATTCTGCAAGGAAATTTTTCTCAAATCATTTGTATAACCTAATTTTTTTAACCTCATTTTTTGTATGAATGTATTTATTCTTTCAATATTCATATTAGAACAGATGACAAATAATTGTCTGCGAGACACTCACTCCACAATTTTCGGCCAGATCACACATTTTTTAATATGTGAACATTTCTGAATTACCTTTCTGAATTACCATTTGAATTACGAAATGTTCAACAGTGGGATCGATATAATGAAACAAAGTCAACAAGAAATGAAATGATGGAATTCAAATTTCTTGTTTCCTCCTGCTTTTTCAAGGTCAAATATCTTTCAAGTACTGCTTAGGATATACAAACAATATTAACAAAAATTAAAAAATCTTTTCACCAGAGTTTTGTAACTCATTTGCTGCCGAAATATTCAATTTCGAGTGATTTATTCAACGGAATTTTAGGCGGAAGTTGATATAGAAAAAGATTATTAATTGACATTTTCTAACAATGCAAACCAAGGAGGAACGAAACCTAAGATATTTGATATTTTTTTAGCAATGCAAAACCAAGGAGGGACGAGACCCAAGTATCGTGGTCTCGTCCCTGCGCACAATACACTAGGACCCTTTTTTTTACGGTCATTGGGCTAATTAGGGCTGGGAGCTAGGTGAGCTCAGTGAGCGCCATTTGGGCATGCCTGGTCTAAGAGGTGTGAAAGTACTACATCATTCTTCAAGGTGAAATAATTTTTTTTTCTCTCAAAGTTCAGCATGTGAAGCGTGGAGTACAGACTTGGGCCAAGGCTTGACCAATACTCAAACCCTACTTGGATTATGTTTAGGAGTAAAATGTTAGTGTTGTTATAGGGAGCCGCATCAGAAGCAGCATCCTTAGAGTTACAGAATCCTTCGAGTAGCATGTCTGTAGTATCTTTTATTTCGTTCTCGTAGTTTCTTGGGGCAGACCTTGATATCGTCTGGGGTTGTTGATCGGAGCGGCTGATCGTTGGGGTTCGTTCACGATTTACATTCGACTTCGCAGGAGATGAACCTTCGAAAATTTGAAATTTTCGTTACACGTCTAGACAAAGAGATTCATGCATTTTTTGCGTTCGACATTATCGTTCGCTAGGCCGATGTGTGGTGCAGTTTCCTCGCCATTGGTGGTATCGAGGAGGCGACGATTTTGTGTTTTTCCCAGATCCTGTGCCAAGATCTCAAATGAGGTGGTGAGGCTTACGTTTGTGGATAGTCTCCCGCGTTTGACGGGAGTTTGGAATCTGGTGTTTTTGTGGGGTTGATGGTTCCTGTTTGAGATTTGGGCTTCGACACGAGTCCCGGACATGTTCTGGATGGTTACTTGACATTTTTTTCCTTTTTCCCATAATGGAGAAAAGGAACGAAATACGACGATGCAAATGCATAAGTGTACAGCTACGTTTAGGTAAACTGGAAACTTAACGATGAATTTCTGTATAGGGCGGGGTGAGCATTTTTTTTATCTGAGTTGAATTTGGAGGAAGAAGATGAATAATTTGTCATTTTGGCCGTTCAACTTTTAGCAGCGTAGTAGTCAAGTTTTCCGCTATCAAATCGCGCGATGGCAAACTCAATAGCCTGAAAAATTCAACACGATAAAATATGATAGGCTGCGTAATTTTAAATTTAACTACCCTTAGAGGAGAAGAAGTTTCATTTTTAATTCGTATTTCTAACTATTTATCTTCGTTTAATAGCTTGGAATTCCACTGAGATATGGAGCTGAATGAAAAATAAGTATCATCCATTGAAAAAAATCCCAATTCCTGAATTAGCTTTTTAAAGGATTTGTCTAATGACGACCTTTCTGAAAAATTTATGGAAGAAAAACTATTAGTCTCGGTATTTTAACTGGCTGATATTACCTCTTTCTTTATACAAAAAATGAGTACTTTTTACGAAATTTTTTTCAGAATATTTTCTTCAATTCATATTTTTACTGAAAATCAATTATATGCCATGAATAAATTGGGGGAATGCTGGAATATGACGTTCTCAAATCTGTTTCTCACTTCGAACTTGCTCAGACTTTTTCCACATATTATTTATAATGTCAGTTTTCAAAATAAGTGAAAACACCATGACAAAACAATTTTGAAATTTTCCACTTGGATGCATTTTTCCTTTACTCCTTTTCTTCTGCGTCACCTCCCACTTCGGTTGATTTCAGCGGAGAAGAAGGGCTTTGGCAATCTAGATCCATCACCCGGTACAATGAACTCTCATCTACCAGTTGTTTCAGATTAATATAAGAGCATGATTTGCTCTTAGAGGCGAGATTGCGCAACCATGCGTTAAACACTAACAGAGGTTGAGAGCACCATTTGCTCTCACATCAGAGGTTATCCAGCCGTGGTATAATCTACAGGGGAACGAGAACCATGCATGCGTTGGAAATAACAGAAAACAACAATAGCTCGTAACATAAAAAATTGTTTACTCTGTACTCTTCACTTCGAAGGGCCGCACGTATTTTTACTTATAAAAAAGGATTCTGATAAACTAAGCCCGGAGTCCATTTTGTTGCATTCAAGTCTACTTTCTATCCGCATTACAACTCTTTAGTTCCATTCAGTTCAAATATAACAAAATTACTGAAAGAGGAGTATTCCGTAAAACAGTGAATATTTAGTTGTATGAATATGTATGTCAACACCTACTTCACATAAGCAAGTTCCATTATGGCACTCGCCATGTCCAGAGCAATTATCGTTGCCGCAGGAAGTCGAACTGTTCCAGGCCATCATCCCAATTTTCACCAACAGTGACAGTGGATTTTGAGTACTCAATGCCATAACCTGTTCCATGATCATGATCCAAGTCCCAAATTGATCAGTGATAGCTCCCCTGTACACAAAACAAAATGTGAAGCACCAGTGTCGTTTAAAAGTTGAGTAATAGGACTTAACATATAAAGGCGGTAAAGAAATAGTTTTGGCCATTAGTTGCGAAACGAAATAATCACAGCTTTACATAAAAAGTTAAATTCCAATCAGATTCAGTCAAATGTGAATTTTGCATTTAACCCGATTAGAACCGGATAGTTGAAATTGATGGCCGAGGTGTGAATAAATTTTTGCACCGGTGCTGATCAACGAGCTCATCGGCTACCACTTGTGCCTGTACTGATAGAAGAATTCAAGTGTTAGCTAATGAATTGTGTTGAACATTCTCTTCGATTCGTTTGTAAAAAAAAATTAAATGGGTGGTCCCAGATGGTATGACCTGAGTAAGTCTTTTATCAACTTTTCCCAGTACCTACGCGATACGACAGCCTAATTCCCTACCCGTATTTGGATTTTTCTTTGGATTTGCGGTAACATCGACCGACTTCCTCTCCAACCGTGCCGTATTTGCCCCAAGGGCTATGCGCTATGGACAGACTCTCCTGGTACCCAAGGAAAGCCATGGAAAATCTTGAGCGGCAGGGCGTACATCAACGAAGATTCATCGAGAAATAATAATTCTCGATGATTCTTGGTATCTAGACCCCCGTTCGACGATTTCTGAAAGATTGAAATTCCAAGGCCCTAAGTGGGACTCGAATCCTCGCCTCACGAGTCCCGTCATCTCATTGTATGCTATTCGCTTGGATTGAAATTTATAAAAAAACAAAAGTGAAAATTCAGCTTTAGATTTTAAATATAAAAGTGAAAAATTCAAATTTGCTATGAAAGAACTTGGAGAATATATTTCGGAAATCATTGTCAGCACTCATTGTTTTACAACTCCAAATGAGAAAAATAGAAAATTTCCACTGCCAATTTAGGAATATATTCCTCGAAATGCCATTGGAAATTTTCATATTACATTTTTAACTTGGCAACTGAAACTTAAAAACAAATAATTAATTTTTGCATGTATAAAATGAGCAATTTCCCCATCATTTTTCTGGTGAATTGTACCTTCTCATCTACCTGGTCTAGTAGATGAATAAAATAAAAATTGAGTAACTAAATCTTTTTAATGACCATCTTTTCCCAAGGGCTGCCCTAAGCCTTATTCAGGCCTAACTCGGTTTGCGGTAAATATCGTCTTGACCCAAAATAATTTTTCTGCCTACATGCGCCGAAAGTGAGCATTCTAACCTCACTTCGTTCGGTTAGAAACGTCACTTTCGCCGCATATCGACAGAAAAATCGTATGCAACCCTCGGGAGGATAATCAGACAAGCATTTCCCAAGTGCATACCACCCTCGCCTTCGGCTCGGGTGGTAATTTTACACGTGGACCTGTCTACTTTTCCTCCCTAGGTGAGCAATATACTATTCAAGGGTGATTCCTCATCATGAAAACATGAGAAAAAAAAATTTTCCGATATTGTTGGCTATTTCGAAAGAAAAATCGATATTTATATTTCAAATTAAGAGATAATTAAAAATTCCCACTCGATCGCACGGTCGCCCTCTGCCGGTATTGATCAAGACTTCAGAACGGAGAAGAATTTAATTAGAGCAGGAAGCTTCATTAAGTGGATGTGGCCCCTCTCCCAGCTCTTGTGGTTACTCCATCGTTGTCAACCCCTAAACCATGAGACTAACATTACAGACCGAGCCGCACTGAACGATCTCGCACGAAACCTCGTAAGAGACAACAGACGCTTCTTCCTCGTAACTTCGCGGACTGACTTTAGCACATTATTATCTCGAGTAATTTTATAATGTAAATTATTATTTATTCAGTAACGATCCCCACGCGAAAAAAAAGTGTCTTTGGAATATCTTTCGAAAATCTTTGTACGAATTTTTAATGAATTCTTCTGAAGACCTTTTTGGTAAGCCAAAAGCCTATTTGAAAGGTAAGGTTTGCTAAAGACAAATGAAAGCTCTCTAGACTATAATTTTAGAAGATTTTTCGGAAATTTTTTTAGAAGATCTTCAGAAGATCATTTTCTTCCAAGATCTTCGAAAGATATTGTATTTTTTAGATCTTCGGAAGAAAATTTCCTCTAAGATCTTCTGATGATCATTGTTTTTTAATATCCCGAAAAAACATTCCTGTAAACAGAAGGCGTAGAAATAGTATTTTTTACGCCTAGGGCGGTAAAAGTGAATCTGATGATTGCGGCTTTACAGTCCGAGCCGAAGGCAAAAATTTGTGGCCGAAAACGCGTTTGTCCCCCCCGTTTTCAAATATGGGAGAAGGGCTGGACGTTACACCAAACCCTGTTCATTTGACTCGACGAAGCTGTCGTCAATAAACTCCGTTGGCGACAGCAATCTGATCAACATTTCAACGGAGATTAGGCTGCATCTGGTCGAGAAGACCAGTCGACAGAGGCTTCTAATTGACGCTGGTTCAGTGGTATAAGTATTACCAGTTCAGTATTTTTCCAGTAACCGGTAAGCTAGACATTTTTGATTTGCATGCAGCTAATTTTTCAGTGATTCATACGTGTAGCATCCATGTACTGATATTGACGTTCAATCTTCGAAAGAAATTTACTTGGATGTTCCTCCTCACTGATGTCCAGTCAGCAATTACAGGAGCAGATTTTCTGGCCTTCCACTCACTGCTTGTGGATCTTCACTCACACCAAAAGGTGAAGTGTTTAGAACGTCACTTTATTAACACTTACTTCCAATCAATCGTACCTGGATTCGCTGCAAGAATTTATTACTATTACCAAACCGTCAAGTGTACCAACTTCACTCAAATGTTCGTATGTTCATTGAGTTGTTACCACGGGTCCTCCAGTCGGTAAACGTCCTTGAAAACTAGCTTGGAATCTGGAATTTGTAAACCATCAAGCAGCCCCTGGGCCAATCCAATACATCTAACACCTAAAAAGTCAAATGATTGGCGACTTTGCGGAGATCGCCGTAAATTAAACTCAATTACAACACCGGATAAATATCCTTCGCCACTAATTCAAGATCTGTTTCTACTGCTATACGACAAGACAATATTTTCCACGTTGGATCTGCTTCGAGATGCACACTGATGACACCGAAAAACTGCTATTACTATACCCTGGCGACTCTTCGAGTACTTGGTAATGCCTTTTGAACTAAAAAAACGCCACACAAACTTCCCAAAGATTCATCGATGCAGTCTTCCGGGATCTCAACTTTGTTTTTGTGTACATTAATGACATACTCATCATCTACATCGCCCGAGGAACACCATGACCATCTCCGAATAGTCCTAACCATTAATGTCGATAAAAGCGTACTTGGATACCCAGAAGTCATTTTCCTCGGCTATCAGATAAGTGCCAGAGGTTATCGACCATCAACGGAACGTATAGACTATCTTATCGACTTTTCTAAACCCGAAACTGTCATGGAACTCTAACGGTTCTTGAAAATGATTAGTACCGTTACGTTTTCCCTGAGGCAGCAATTCACTAGATATCTCTCAACAAATACTCGAAGACCGTCGGAAACAAAGATCATCTGGAGCAGCGAGCGAGAAAAGGCATTTGAGAACTGTAAGCTGAGGCTTGGCTCAATTGCACACACGGCTTATTTGTCTTCAACAGCAGCACTCGTGCTGACCACAGATTCCCCAACAACAGCAGTCTTTAAACACATTGAGGGTGACACTATACAGCGATACAGAATCCAGATATTCTACATATTATCGTGAACTTCTGGAAATATTTTCTGCGACCAAACACTTCCAACATATTCCTGAGTGTCGTCAGTTTGTCATGAAAATAGACCATAAGCTACTGACTTATGCATTTCGGCAGAAATTAGAAAAGGCATCAGATCGTCCAGTAAGAGAGGATTCCATATCTCAATTGTCAACAGATATTGTTTATGGTAAAGGTGGAGAAAACTTGGTAGCCGATGCACGCTCAGGGATTAATGCAATTCGTTCCATCAACATGCCAAAGACACTTGATCCACAGACCACTCTCCAAGAGCAAAAGCCTGATGATGAATTAGCTGATCTGATCAACAGTAATTCATCACTCAAACTCCAGAAACTCACTGTGCAAACAGATATTAGCATTTATTGTGACATTTCTAAGGGGATTGTCCGGTCATACATTCAAGCTACGCTTCGGAGACAAGCTTTCAACAGCGTTCATGGCCTAGGGCACCCAAATGGAATAACTTCATATTACATCGAACAGAAGTATATCTGACCTGGAATAAAACGTGATACTGGCAAATGTGTAAGAGAATGCTTAGCATGCCAATGATCAAAAATGCATAGTGACAACCGACTGTCACTCAAGGAAATAAGTGTTCCAGATAATCAATTTAACGACATCCATCTAGATCTCACGGTTCTTCCTGAGGGAAAAGTTTTTCATTATTGTTTACCAAGAATCGCTGGGTTTTCGAGATGGCCAGTGGCAGTACTACTACGTGACATGACAGCAGACACTGTGTTACTGCGCTTTTTGATCATTCGATATACCAATTTGAAACACCGTTGACAATCACGACAGATCAAAGTTCTCAATTCGAATCAGCACTATTTCGAGCTCTCACCAACTTCATAGGAGCAACCGAGATTAGAATAACGTCATATTATCCCGCATCAGACAGAATGATAGAACGTTTGCACCGAAAGCGCTCATGTGGTCAGCAAAACCTTGGTCTGAAATTTCAGCCACTGTTTTACTTGGTCTCAGGATTTGTTGCGAGGAAGATCTTCAAGCTACACAAGGATATGTACTTTCTGGTACTGGTTTGAAAATTCAAGGTGAGTTTTTTATTCATCAGGATGGTTCTGCCAACATCCAAATCTTTCTGGAAAAACATAGACAATACACCAACTTCTTATCACTGCAAGATGAGGATGTTTCTGTTGACAGAACCTACAAATTGGATCTTGAGGAGAAGGAGAAGACCAATTCAATCGAGAGGTTGAAAGCAGCCTGCATC